CTCTTCTCTTCTCTTCTCTAAAAGTATTTAAATCATTCAAAGTATGTTATTTACTATAGTGGAAATAAATTAGAATCAATAACGGAATGACATCTGGAATCTTTCCATGAAAACCATAACCCATGTGTTAAAGAAACTAACAGAAAATTGGAAAGTATATTGAACTGAATGAAAAGAAAACAAGATATATGAAAATTTGTAATGCAGTTTAAACAGTGCTTAGAAAGAAATTAATATAACTAATTGCCTGTATTAGAAAAGAAGAAAACTCTCAAATGAATGATTATGGTTTTAATCTAAAGCAATAACGAAGAAAGAGTTCTAGTCAAGATGACAGAGAAGGTAAATGCTGTACTTGTCTCCTCTCAGGACCACATCAAAATTACAACTAAACTATGAAACAACCATCATTGAGATAACCTGAAGCCTAGCCAAACAGAAGTGCTATAACTAAGGATATAGAGAAGAAGTCTTGTGGAGACTGGTGGGAGGAGCAGAAACATGTAATAAGCTGATCCCACATCCATGTGTGAAAGTAAAAAATCGGGAGAGATATCTCAACTTTGGAGGGCCACCCTGAGAAGTGAGGTGTCCTAGCCCCACACCAGTGTCCCCAGCCCAGGGCTCCAGTGCCAGGAAGAGAAGTCCTTGTAACTTCTGGCTGTGAATACCAGCAGAGATTGTGGCTGAATAAGAAGGATGGCTGCTGTAGTTCCAGGCAATCCTTTTAAAAGGCCCACACATGAACTTGCTGATGGGCTCACTCGCTGTGAGCTCCAGAGCTGGGGCAGCAGCTTGAAAGGCACCAGGGATATGCAGGAAGGAAATGAATTATTTAGCTTCAGGACCAGGACTGGAAGGGCAGCTTTCTCCCAGACAGAAGAGCTGGCAGAATCCATTATTCCTTTGTTGAACTGTCCCTTCACCCAATATGCAGACACAGGTGAGCATCATATCTGAGTCTTCAGCAACCTAGCTAACACTGGTTTGCTCTACCCTCGTGATTCCTTGAGAACCTGACCCACCCAACTTTTGGGCCCACCCAAGCTGCTTCCAGTGGCTTTTCTACACAAACCATCTGTCTTGGTTCATGTTATGGACTTTCTTAAAATCTCTCAAAGGTTCACAAACCCCAAACAATCAGCATATGGCCTCTGCATGCCCTGTACCTCTTGCTAAGTGGCCCCAAGCCTAGCACTTGTGACAACTAGCCTCGGTTCACATCTTAGCCTCTCCCAGGTACCTCTAAGCCCAGCACAAGTAGCAACCAGCTTCAGATCACTTTGTAGCTCATACCAAGTGGCCCTGGGCAAAACACAGGCAGCAACTGAACTTGGCCTGCAACAGAGCCTCTTCCAAGAGGCCTCAGAACCTACAAACCTGGTGGCCAGCTTCAGACCATACCAGAGCATCACCCAACCACCTCCACAAAAGACACTCCAAAAGGGAAGGCTGGGAAGGCACCAGAGCCCTGCTAAAGCAAATCCTGTTCCACTATAGGGCCAGTCCCTGCACCATAGCTCCTCCACTCTAGTCACTGGCCAGTTCTCACAACCATCCTGAGGGTCAATCCCTTCCATTGTCATGCAAATAGCAACCAAGGCTTAACTACAACAAGAGGGCACACACAACCCATACAAGGGTTACCCCTGAAGCACACAACTCAGATGATTGGGGAAACTGTGCCATTGAACCCCATAGCACATCTACTACATAAGGCCACTCTATCATGACCAGAGGATATAGCAGCTCTACCTAATACATAGAAACAAGGAAGCAGACAAAATGAGGAGACAAAGAAACATGTCCCAAATGAAAGAATAGAACAAAGCTCTAGATAAAGAACTGAACAAAATGGAGACGAGCAATCTAATAAATGCAGAGTTCAAAACACTGGTCATAAGTATATTCAGTGAGAACTTTAACAAAGAGATAGGAAACATAAAAATGGAGAACAAAAAGATAGAAAACAAAACAAAACAAAATAGTCAGAAATGAAGAATGCAATAACAAATAAAGAATACATAAGAGGAAACCAATAATAGATTACATGAAGCAGAGAATCAGATCAATGATTTGGATGATAAAGTACCATGAAACACCCAATCTGAACAGCAACAAGAAAAAATAATCCAAAAATATGAGGATAGATTAAGAGACCTCTCGGACAACATTCACATCATCATAGGAGTACCAGAAGGAGAAGAGAGAGTGCAAGGATTTGAAAACAAATTTGAAGAAATAATGATGGAAAACTTTCTTAATGTGGTGAAGGAAATAAACGTACAAGCCCAGGCAGCATAGAAAGTCCCTAACAATATGAGCCTAAAGAGGGCCACACCAAGACACATCATAATTAAAATTCCAAAGGCTAAAGATGAAGAGAGAATCTTAAAAGCCACAAGAAAAATGCAGATAGTTACCTACAGGGAGCTGCCATAAGACTGTCAGTTGATTTCTCAACATAAACTTTGCAGGACAGAAGACATTGGCACAAAATATTCACAGTGATAAAAAGCAAGGACCTACATTCAAGATTACTCTATCCAGCAGAGCTATCATTTAGAATCAAAGAACAGATAAAGAGCATCTCAGACAAGATAAAGTTGAAGGACTTCGCCATCATCAAACTAATATTACAAGAAATGTTAAAGGGACTTCTTTAAGAAAGAAGAAGAAAAAGATCAAAATTATGAATAATAAAATGGCAATAAGTACATATCTATCAACAATTACTTTAAATATAAAAGGATTAAATGTTTCATTCAAAATACATAAGGTGGCTAATGGAAATGAAAATAAACCCCGACATATACTGTCTACAAGAGACTCACTTCGGATCAAAGGACATACATAGACCAAAAGTGAAAGGATGGAAAAAAATATTTCATAAAAATGGAAACAAAAATTTAAAAAGTTGGGGTAACAATACTTATACCAGACAAAATAGAGTTTAAAATAAAGGCTATAAAAAAGACACAAAAAGGACCCAGCAATCCCACTCCTGGGTATTTATCCAAAGAAACCTAAAATACTACTTTGAAGGAACATGTGCATTCATATGTTCATTGCAGCCTTTTTTTTACAATAGCCAAGATGTGGAGGCAACCTTGGTGTCCATCAATAAATGAATCGTTAAGAAGAGGTGGTATGTGTATACAATAGAATATTGCTCAGCCTTAAAAAAAAAAGAATGAAATGCTGCTATCTGCAACACAGATGGGCCTAGAGAGTATTGTGCTAAGTGGAGTAAGTCATATGATTTTACTTACAAATGGAATCTAGAAAATAGAATAATTGATCAGACAAAACAGAAACAAACTTAGAGATACAGAGGGCATTTTGATGGTTGTCAGATTGGTGGGAGTGGAGGGAAGATGGGGGATGGTAGTTACATAATAGTCATAGGATGTAGATTATAGCATGGGGAATATAGTCAGTAGTATTGTAATAACAATTCATTGTGTCAGATGGGTATGAGTTTTATTTGGGTGATCACTTCACAAGTTATATAAATGTCTAATCATTATGTTGTACACCTGAAAATAATATAATATTATATATCAACTGTAACTGAAAAATAAAAAAATTTACATAAGGAGAAAAACTGGGGGGGGAAAGGAAATTAAAAAGAAACAGAAAAGAATATAAATATAAACAATGAGAGCAGAAATTATTGAAACAGAAAACAGAAAAAAATAGAGAAAAAATAAAATAAAATCCTGGTTCTCTGAGAATATCAAGAAAGTTGTAAAACCTCTAGCCATGCCAGTAAGTAAAACAGAGAATGTCAGAGGGAACTTTTGCAGATATAGAGATATTTAAAAGATAATAAGGAAATATTAGGAACAACTTATTCCAATAAATTCGACAACATAGATGATTGTACAAAGTTCTTGGAAGGCACAAATTACCAAAAATTAAATTTATAGTTGAAAATCTTTGCACAGAGCAAACTCCAGGCACGTATGACTTCACTGGTGAATTTTACCAAACATTTAAGAAAAAAAATCATGTCAGTTCTTCAAATCTCTTGCAGTAAATTTAAAATGAGAAAATATATTTTTAAAGGCCAACATTCCCTGTCTTAAACAAGAAAAAGCATTTTACAGAATCCAAAATACATTCCTGAGTTTAAAAACATTCAGCAAACAGAACAGAAAGGAACATCCTTGGCCTGATAAAGGGCATCCAGCATTACACTTAGTAATGAAGGACTGAATGCTCTTCTTTTAAGAACAGGAATAATTCAAGGATATACACTCTAACCACTTCTATTCAGCATTTGATCTATCAAGTGCAATAAGACAAAAAAAAAAAAAAGAATAAAATAATTCACACTAGAGTAAAAAACTATAACATCTTTATTTGCTGATAACATTATCATCTATGAAGAAAATTCTACTAAATCTATAAAAACCTAGTAGAAGTAATAGGTTTTACAAGTTTTCAGGATACATACATGTCGATTAACAAAAAAAATCTATATTTTTGCATATTAGCAATAAATAATTGTAAATTAAACAAAAAAGCACTAAAAACAACATAAAAATTTTAAATATTTAAATCTCAGAAAAGATATTTAAGACCTTTCACTGAAAACTACATAACATTGCTGAAGAAAATTTGGTGGGACTTACATAGATATACTGTTTTCATGGCTCACTGTTTCCCAGGAATAAATTCATTCCTTACTTAAGAATTATGTTAAAGGTCTGACAACATTCAAATCAATATGTGATGCTTCAAAGTTCTTAAATCTAAAATATCCAAGATAGAAACAAAGGGCTACACCATGGTTAATGAGAAGGCCTTATCAGATCACTTATGAGATCTTCCTGTACATCACTAAATGTCTGCATACTCTCTTCAGTGCCGCCTTCATCTCTTTATTCCTGAGTGTATAAATGACCGGATTCAGAAATGGAGTGCAATATGTGATGCTTCAAAGTTCTTAAATCTAAAATATCCAAGATAAAAACAAAGGGCTACACCATGGTTAATGAGAAGGCCTTATCAGATCTCTTATGAGATCTTCCTGTACATCACTAAATGTCTGCATACTCTCTTCAGTGCCGCCTTCATCTCTTTATTCCTGAGTGTATAGATGACTGGATTCAGAAATGGAGTGAGAACTGCATCAAGAATAGCAAAAAACTTGTCCATTTGAGAATTAGGGTGTGGCCACGTATAGACAAACATGGTTGGACCAAAGAACAAAAGGACCACAGTGATGTGAGCTGACAGAGTGGAGAGGGCCTTGGATGAACCACCACCCGATGAACGTTTCCAAACAGTAAATAAGATGAAGATGTAGGAGATGAGGAGAATAAAGAAGGAACCAACACAGATAAACCCACTGTTGATGGTGACCATGAACTGCAATCTGTAGGTATCCATACAAGCCAATCTGAGAAGCCGAGGAAGGTCACAGTAAAAACTGTCCACTACATTAGGACCACAGAAGGGCAAATTCACAATAAACGCTAGCTGGAACAGTGAGTGACTGACACCAAGGGCCCAGGCAGCAGTCAGAAACAAAACGCACCTTCGTGGGCTCATGATAGTCAGGTAGTGGAGAGGCTTACATATGGCAACATATCTATCAAAGGCCATGGCAATGAGCAGCACCATCTCTACACCACCAACAACATGGATGAAGAAGATCTGAGCAATGCAGCCTCCAAAAGAGATGACTTTGCGCTTTCTAAAAAGGTCATAAATCATCTTGGGGCTAGCAGCAGAGCAAGCTCCTAGGTCAATGAAGGAGAGACTGGCCAGTAGAAAGTACATAGGGGAGTGTAAGTGAGGATCAATGGTCACAGAAAACACAATGAGGATGTTTCCCGTCATGCTTCCCACATAAAGCACAGAGGAGAACACCAGGAGAAGAAGCTGGATCTCCCATGAATGGGTGAGTCCCACAAGCACAAACTCAGACACACCTGAGTGATTCCCACCTTCCATTGATCCATGCAAAAGGGCTGTGGCTGAAATTATGAGAAATAAGAAAATGAGAAAGAAATTAGGGATGATATTAATTCTTTCATCAATAATCATGATGATTATTAGGGATGATTAATTATGTTGCACTGTTCACAACGAATGAGAATTACCTGATTGTCCAATGCTTCACCCTTGCAAAATTATAATGATGATAATGATGGTGGTGATGGTGGTGATGATGATGATGTTGATGATGAGGATGGTATAAGCATAACTCAAGAGATCATATCATGATTGGAACTAGCAGCAACATCTCTCAGGGACTAAAATTATAAGAGAATCAGGCAAGAACAGAAGTTTCACAAGGGCCTGCAACAAGAAACAGAATATACAAGCAAGAAAGTATACTTACCCGCAAAGGGAGAGAGATAGTAGGTTGAAATGAATGTGTTTCATTACCCCCAAAGGGAAATTAGACAGGTATACCTATTATATCTTACTCTACTTTCCCATATCAACGCATTTCATCTTCCTTTTATGGCCATTTTCATATTCTTTTTTCCATACAATTTACATTTCGAGAGTAGGGTCTGGCAAAAACTACTATTAATCAGTGGATCACTGTCTAAGAATGAGAGTTTTCTGAAATATGAGATGGGACTTTTTCACTTTGCAGATCTGAAACTCTACACCCATTAAACAACAACATCCCTTAGCCCCTTCCCCAGCCCCTGGAAATCACCATTCTACTTTTTGTTTCTATGAATTTAACTACATTAGATACTTCATATAAGTGGAATCACACAGCATGTATCTTTTTCGATTAGCTTATTTCACTTATAAGAATATCCTCAAGGTTCATCCACTGAATCTTCCCATTTTTTAAGAGTTCTGTCAAAATGATACAGAGCTCTCTGCTGGCCATACTACTCAATGAGTTTCCCTCTGAAGCCAACACCTGGCCCTGCAAGACTTTTACTCAGGCCTGAGACATATACAAATATTTGAGATTTTACCCTAATTTCTGCTAAAGCATATGCCTATATCATCACAAAGGATGTGAAATACACCTGTAAACAGCTTCTATTTGTCCAAATAGTTTAAGGTGCTTATGACCAGCACTTGGAAACATTGAAATATTAATTTTTTTCTTTATAAATATCTCAGCTTCACTCACTCACTCCCTTTGTTTGCTCAGTTGTATTTAGTCCTTTATTGTGACCTGCTCTAATATTTGATATCACCATGCTTACTGGTCTGAAATATATGCAGGTATGTCGTGTCTCCAAGATCACTCATACTTTTAAGCTTTTAGCCCATTTCGAAATGAAATGAATGTTAAATAACAATACAGAAGGGCAGCAGAGCTTTCTCCTTGGCTTAATTACATGCACCTAAAGGTGATGTTAAAGGGTTGGTGCCTTTTAAGTTTGGAACACGTTTGCGTGGGAGCGGGTTGAGGATGGATGGAGTGAAGAGAATTCCAAATACCCACCATAGTCAATTTCCAGTAGAGGATGCACCCTGAAAACAGCTCTCAAAGTTTTATTCCCTTAGAAGGTGCTGGGATGCAGAACAGGCATATAAACATTCTTCTCCTTTTGCAGACACAGCTCCAGAAATCTGAAGAATCTTCTCACAAAAATGCATGTCAAGTTGATGCTCTCATCTATCTTAATAACCTCTCTGCTCCCAAACTCCCAGAAGCTCTCGCTATGATCTGAACACAATTCTACCTCACCACAACTGAGCTGAGTCTCTCTATACTCAACTAAGTCAAATGACTTTGCTGCCACCTTCTGCTTCTGCAGTCCATAGTCTCAAGAAACACATTTTCTGTAGCCTCATACTCTTCAGTCATCAGAAATCTGTGAGCCTGAGCTGGGGAACAGGGAACCACATATGCTGCTCATTTTGGAAGGGACAGACGAAATGAAGAGGACTGATGGGAGGAAAATGCATGGATGAATGACTGAGCTATTGTAGAGAACGCCAGAGGTAATCAACAACCGATGAAAAAAATATGAAGACTTTTGTGGGGAAATCAGCACTCAGTGGAATCATACTAGTACTTCGATTTAAGAGATAACCTGGTCCAAACTGACCATTACGAAAAACCTGAGACTCAAAAATGTAAACTGAATTGCTCATTGTCACACTAGTGCCAGAACAGGAGGAACCAGAACCCAGGTCTCTGGATTCTTGTTCCAAAAATTACAGATCCTGTAAAAAATAACCTAAAAAAGAAAAAAAAAATTTTTAAATGTGATTTTCTGAGTGAAAACTGATACCAATCACCAGCATTTATAAAAACTACCTTTTATTTTCACTAAATTATTTTGCATGACAATAACTAAATACATTGAAAAAGGAAATAATTAAATGTTAGAAGTAAACTGTACACAGAAATGAGATTGTTCATTGCTGCCACATTTTGAGTGCTCATTCTTCTTATTTTGGTGCTCATTTGAAAGGACACAGCAGTGGCAAAATATTTGAAGGAATACGTGTTATCCTACCATCATTTCTGCTTCTCTATATTTTACTCTCCTCAGAAGTCAATTAAAGTTCTTAATTGTGTTGTAAAGTTTTTCTTGACAATTCCAGTCGATAATACTCAGAGGGTCTTTTTTAAGTCAATAAAACATTGGAAAGATATTAACCGCTCACATAATAGCTGCAATATAAGGGCAGCATATGATATATGCCATAGAAACAGTAGAGATAATAATTTGTTTAATGTGTGAGGGACAAAAAAATAGAAGTTCAAAAGGAAAGACTAGTATTATCTAGAGAGGTCAAGGTTTTCACCTAGAGAATGGAATGAGACCTGTCCTTTTAAATATGAGTGGTAAACTCCCTGATTTATAATCTGTAGAGCCTTAGCTATTAACATAATGTTTAAAATTTTTAATTTGTATATCTCCCAAAGTTCATAACTAAGTGTGAAAGTCAGTGAATATTTTCAGAATGAGAGGTTGGTAGATAACCCCTACACACTCTAGGAGCCATGACTCCAATGATCTCTCCATCATCTTTTCAAGTAAACTCCACATGCAAAAAAGAACACTTCTCTTCACAAAATTGATGACAACCATAACTAAGAATTTCTATCCAGAGGCACCCCACCCTCCACAGCCTATATCTTATTTAGGGATAGGATGAAACTCTCCTCTGTAAACCTACATTCAACACTCAACTTCTTTTCATGAAGCTTGGCAATGACCTGAGAGGTAGAAATGAATAAGGAAGAAAGGAAGTATAAAGAAAGAATGTGAAAAAAGAGAAAGACGCAAAGAAAGGAGAAATTAGAAGAGAAATGCCTTATGATACTAAAAGTAAAAGAAAAAGACAAAAGAAAGCATAGAAGAACAGAGGGAAACAAGTTTGTGCAAGACTTCAGATGAAAGTAAACAGGAGGATCCAATTTCCACCTCTACTCAAGTGATTTGGTTCAAAAAGGTAGACTCCTTCAGTACCTGTCCATCCAGGCTCACACAACTTCTGTGACTATCAAATATGATAACAAATGGAAACATTGCTTTTTACAATGCAATGCAAATGTAAATCATCCATAAATTATTGCTGCTACTCTCATCTGAGAAGCCTACAGTAGAGCTGTGAGTTGTTTGGCCTTTACAATATATCAGGCCTGTGTTTGAATCTAAGCTCCACTGCTCACTTGCTATGTGAGCATGAGAAAGTTACTTAACCTCTCTGTTTCCTCATTTGTAAAAGGTAAGGATAACATCTTCTTTGCAGGGTGTGGTGGGAACTAGGTGATACGATATACATAACCTATACCTAACACAGTACCTACCATATTGTGGGGGCAAAAATAAGTGGAACCTAATACATAATAAGGATCAGCTGGTTGCTATATGTTCCAATTCTCAATTCCAAGTATTAATAAAATTTTTAATTCTTCACCCATTATTCTGAGATAATTAAATAGTGCTTGTTTCAAGTTAGGTTTTCATGTCTATACTGGTTTCCAGTAGCTTGAATATCTTCATTAGGAATATTTTTCATAGAATAATTTTGCTACTAAGTGGAGACACAGCTCAGGGCTTGCTTTGTAAGAAGTTTGCGCTTTGTCAACAAATGAGTTATGCCATATCATTTTCCCAACCTCTCCTCTCCCTACAGCCAAAGCCATAGATAAATTCTCACATAAACCATTTTAATGTCTTTCCTGACCACCTCAGATAACACTGGTCATTTCTATCCACATGGGGGCTGCTTCACATAAATTCTCACATAAACTATATTCATGTCCTTCCTGACCACCTCAGATAACACTGGTCATTTGTATCTGCGGGGCTGCTTCTTGGAATTTCCAAAGGTTGTGCTCCACCAGATAAAAATTTGCATGAACTTGCCTAGAAAGAGGAAGCAAACCCACAAATACCTGCCTCTCAGGAAAAAAGATTTTTGTGTCCAAACTATCACTTTTTTTCAAGATCCACTTAATATATTTTAGCCACAATAGCTGTTGCTAACCCTGTACAGGTGGAAAACACAAGGATAGTTTATGAATGTCAAACAATCAGTTATGGATACAGACAGCAACTCAGGACAATGTAGTTCTAGTTCTTAAGCAAATATCCAACAGGCACAGTAAGATGAATGTCACAAACTTAGCAGGACCTGAGTAAAGTGGAAGAAAACTCCAGCTGTTATGATCAGAGAAGACAAAGTGGTAAATGTGGCACTGAGAAGAGCTTTTATTAATAGTAAATATAATACATAAAAAGAGTGTGAAAAATAATCTCAGGCAGATAATACAATATGAGAAATGACAGGTAAGTTCAAGGTACTCAGATAATGGTGAAGAGTGCAGGTTGCCTGGAAAATGGAAATTTTTATAGCAAACAGTGGAAAATAAGATGAGAAAGTAGAGACTAGTTTTACCTTACCTCAAACTCTAACTTAAGAGGATTGAGCATTGTTAATAAATAAATGAGTAAGAGCAAGGAATTAATAATGAGACCAGTACTTAACGAAGGCAATTTATTTGTCAGTGTGACAGAA